CTTCTTCTTTATAAAAATTAATATGATTGGATTAGTTGACGATGCGATCAATTTTTTATCATCACTCTAATATATATAAATGACGACATGATTAAATTTTTATTGTCTTCTAGCTATATAAAATTTTTCACCAAGCTATATATATAAAAGTGCTATAAAATATAGCAGGATGATAATTAAAATGATTTTTAAACATAATTCATATAGAGGTGAGAAAAAAGTGGACCAGAACTCCCAAAATACACCTACTACTATTCTGTTAACTTTTTCTTTACCCCAAAAATTAATATTAATAACAATTTTAATAGTATGTCATTTTTAAATATGATTACCTCTTAAAATAATATCCTATCTTTATTTGAAACCTTACCCATATTAGTTTTCTTGGAAGAATTAAAATCTAACAGTAGTAATACCCAACCTGTAAATATAGCTCCCACAAAAACTGATGATAATATTTTATCTTTATCTATAACTTCCCTAGTGTTAACCCCTTTTGAAGAATTAAGATTTTATACATCTAAAACTTAAAGTCCAATTAGGATATTCTTTTAATACTTCAAATAATTTAGAATTTAAGTCTAATAACTCGATTATCCCATCCCTAACTGTATTACCAGAAAAAGTCCTTATTGATATTTTACAGCCCTTATCTCTAAATTATATTTATAAGAAAATACCTTTACAATTACCCAATTCAAATAATCCTCTTCTATTAGTTTATTATGAAGCAATAACCTCTAGTAGCGATGCCTTACCTTTTTATAATAAAACTTCACTTGAAAATAGCATTAATGTTACTAGCCCTTCTAAAAATCAACAACATTTTTTAACCAATAATAACCCTATTAAGGTTAATAAGATAGTATTCCTATTTATTGCTATTCCTAACCCACCCGTGATATTTCTTGAAAAAGACTCAGATGAGTCTAGTGATTAAAATTTCGAGTAGTATGCATTTGCTTGGAAAAGAAAAATTCCAGAGTATAAGTATAATGAGAATAATTCTGATGCTGATAGTGAGATCAATGAAATTCGAAAACTGATTAAGCTAAAGAAAAAAAAACTTAAATCTCTTTTTGCTAAATGCTTATATGACTTGGCTGGAAATGCTTATTTTTGAGAAGAGAAAGTTAAACCAAATCTTCATAGCTATATTTATAGTAAGTTTAAAGAAACAAAATTTAATCTCATTAGTGATATATTTGATTATTACTTTGGGAAAAAGATTAGTAGGAGAGATAGTTTTAATTTAGGTTCTCTAAATGAAGAACAAGATAAATAGCTTCGAGATTTTTTAAAGTCTTATTCAGTATTATTTGTGTAAAAAGGTTGTAGGTTAGGATATACAAATTTAATTAAACATAGCATCAATACAGAGAATACCCTACCTATTAAGCATAATCCATATCAGCATTCACTTGCTGAAAAAAAATAATAAAGACTGAAATTGATTGTATAATAAAGAAAGATTTTATTCAACTCTGTCAAAGTCCATAGACTTCTTTTGTGGTGTTAGTACCTAAACCTGATAAACAAACTTGGTTTTGTATTAATTATTGAAAGTTAAATTTGGTAACTCAGAAAGATAATTACCTATTACCCATATTTAAGACCTTTTGGATGCTTTAAACAGGTCATCCTGGTATAGTTCACTCGACCTGCCAGTGGGTACTAGCAGGTCGAAGTTGAAGAAATAGATAAACTTAAAACTGCATTTACTACCTTTTTTGGTGTCTACATGTTCTATGTAATACCTTTTGGGTTAAAAAATGCCTTAGCAACTTTCCAATGTCTTATGGATTACCTTTTTCAAGACTTGATTGGAGTGTGTATTGTTGTCTACTTAGACAATATTAATGTTTATTCGAAATTTTTCGAGAATCACCTAATGCATTTAAAAATAGTTTTTAAATGTCTAAAATTGGCTGGTCTTACCCTTAAGTCTTCTAAATGTTTTTTCTGCCATTGACATATAAAATTTTTCGATCATATTGTTAGGAAAAAAGGTATATCCATCGATTCTCAAAAAGTGGAAGCAGTAAAGAACTTTCCGTCTCTAGAAATTTGAGGCAACTATGAGGATTTAGGGCTAGCCTTATATTATAGAAAATTCATTAAAAATTTTACTCAAATTGCTATCCCGCTTAATCAATTATTAAAAAAATAAAGCTTATGCATAGAAAAAAGAACAGCAAAAGGCTTTTGAAGCCTTAAAAAAGAAACTAACTACTGCTCTTGTTTTAGCGTACCCAGATTTTGATAAGACTTTTATTCTTTTTACCAATGTGTTAGATATTGCTTTAGGCACTATTTTATCACAGAAAAATAAAAAAGAATATGAACAAGTTATATCATATACAAGTCGAAGTCTTACCCAAGCTAAAAAAAACTATTTTGTCACCGAAAAAGAATATTTAGCCATCATATAGACCGTGGAATATTTCTGTCCATACCTGCATAGAAGCCGATTCATTTTGTATGCGAATCACTCAACTCTTAAATATTTGTTTAAAGTAAAATTACCCCAAGACTATTTGGCCCAATGGATAATGACTCTTACTGAATATTCTTTCACCACTATACATCATCCTGAAAGATTTCACACCAATGTCAATAGTCTTTCTCATATCTAATAAGTCACCACTAATAAAGCAATTGTAGTTCTAAATATTTAAAAGAAAGAAGAAGTAGACCCCATATTTATATAGTAAATTTTTAAAACCTGATAAAAATAAAAATTGTTAAAATTTTTTATACTTCCCTTAAAAATCTGTTAATCTAGTTCAGGTTTCGGTGTCCTGGCATTATCAATATTTTTTTAATTTTCTAAATTCATATTATCTGTTTTCTTCTTTTAAAAGAAAATAAATCATTAAAATTTTTTAAATACGAATTAGATCAAGTTAGCAGGCATGGATCCCCAATTATATACTGTTTACCTTCAGTATCTCATGAATACCATAGTACCTTCTTATTATACCCCTAAAGAAATCAAAGATTTAAAATACAAGATCTATTATTACTTGGTCTTAAATGGGTTACTATATAAAAGAAACTTCTGAGATTCATCCTGTCCTTTATGAGTTCTAAAGCAAAGAGAAACCAAAGCCATACTTTTTATAATGCATGATGATTCTCTCACAGAACATTTCAGCTTTTATACTACTTATCAATAAATTTTTGCCTGTTATTATTGGCCCCAAATAGGCAATGATATAAAAAAATATATTAGTACAGGACCCGGACATCTCTCATATAGATCATACTTGCACTTTAGCAAAAAGTCAAAAATTTGGCCTAAAGTCTAATTTTTAGTTTTAGCAAATTAATAATAATTTTAATAATAGATTATAATTTAGCATTTTGTCAAAATTATATCAATTTTATGTATGTTATATTTTATTTTTAGCAAATTATCTGCATTT